GAATCACAATGAGGACCCACAGGAGGACCGGATGGATCAGAAATGCTGGACTGACTGAGAGGCTGAAGAGATGCAGGTGAGAGTGGATTTGGCAGACCGGAGGAGCAGTGAGGCGGAGAGAGTGACGGAAAATAATCTAAACACAGGTAAGTAAAATAAACACAGGAAACCCAAAATACAAATAAATCCAACAATAAAAACTTCAAAAAGTCATTAAAAAACAACAAAAACACTGTCTTCCTATTTACCTTCAAAATATACAACACAGTGTACTTTGGAAGTACGGTAAGAGCTTCAAACTTCTTTTTGTTTATTCGTTATATAAATTAATTTTATTTTAAATAAATTTTGCTTACTTTTAGAAAATCAAATCAGCTAGTTATACTGTATATGCTGTTATAGTCCTAATACACGGCGCTATAAGTGTATACTAAAATGTTTAAAAAAGTCACAAACACATTTTCATTCTTTAGCTCACTTTCTGAGTGTTAAAATTGTTTCACTAACATTATTTTTATGTAGCTCACTGTTACACATTTTACATTTTGTCCAATTTCACTAAATGTTAAATTTAAATATTAAATAATACATGTTAAATCCTAAATCTAAACATGAAGGTTGAATCTTAAATGTTGAAGCTAAATGTTAATATTTACATTTAAGAACTTCAGACTAGAACACAGCTTTTGCTGTTGGTGCCAGGGTTTGTTCTGAAATCTCCCTGCGACAAATGTTAACACCGCTAACACTGCTAATGCTGCTAACGCCGCTAATGCTGCTAACACTGCTAACGCTGCCAACTCTGCTGACGCTGCTAATGCTGCTAACACTGTTAACGCTGCTAACTCTGCTAACGCTGCTAACACTGCTAATGCTGCTAACACTGCTAATGCTGCTAACACTGCTAACACTGCTAACGCTGCTAACACTGCGAATGCTGCTAACACTGCTAACACTGCTAACTCTGCTAACTCTGCTAACACTGCTAACGCTGCTAACATTGCTAATGCTGCTAACTCTGCTAACGCTGCTAACACTGTTAATGCTGCTAACGCTGCTAACACTGCTAACACTGTTAACGCTGCTAACTCTGCTAACGCTGCTAACACTGCTAACACTGTTAACTCTGCTAACGCTGCTAACACTGCTAACACTGCTAACACTGCTAACGCTGCTAACACTGCTAACGCTGCTAACATTGCTAACGCTGCTAACACTACTAACGCTGCTAACACTGCTAATGCTGCTAACACTGCTAACGCTGCTAATGCTGCTAACGCTGCTAACGCTGCTAACACTGCTAACGCTGCTAATTCTGCTATCACTGCTAATGCTGCTAACGCTGCTAATGCTGCTAACGCTGCTAACGCTGCTAACGCTGCTAACACTGCTAATGCTGCTAACACTGCTAATGCTGCTAACGCTGCTAACACGGCTAACGCTGCTAACACTGCTAACACTGCTAACGCTTCCCTACACGACATCAAACTTAAGGCCGGTGTTTGTGCTGCACTTCAAACTGCCAGACCCCAGGTACGTCTCTATTGTTTTCATGAACACATTTTGAATTAAATTTTTACCATCTTGGCRTTAACACAGTTAGTGGTTGCTTTATTTCGGGTGGCTGTGTCAAATTAGCCAGCTGTTATTAATGTTATAGCCTCAAAAGAAAACAGACAAATGGTCCCACGATGAAGCTGATGTGTGACATAAATATTTACAACATGGTGAACCGGACTTTGTTCAGAGTTTGTATCTGTGGAGGAAGGCTTTTAGTAACTGGACAGATTAAGACTCACAGAAGGATTGGATTTTAAAATGAATCAAACTTCATGTGACACATTTCAGTCAGGGGGATGTGTTTATCTGAAGATTTTTTTTTTTTTGACTCTGCTGAACGTTAGTTTGAACTCTCTGCTGATGAAAACAGTCAGGAATAAGGCTGAAGACTAACTGGTCTTTTAACAAACTATATGAAACTGCTTTAGTAACAAACTCCTGATGTATTTTAGCCTAAATGTGTCTCAGACATTTCACTAAAATCTGAGGAAAATCTGTTAAATTATGAAAGAAAAAACATTTACAATTCAAATCATTAAAAACAAAGTCACTCCTTCACATTTACATTATTTCTGTGTCAAACAAAAGACTTTTAGCTTTGCTGAGAAATGAAAGCTGAACTATTATGATTAACAACACACAGCAGAAATTACAAGGATCAAAATCTTTTATTTCTTACTTTTCATTTATTTTTCTTAAGTAAGGTCTGAGAAGAAATTTTTTCTGCCTTTGAGATTTTTTCCAGCTGCTTTTTGCTTCTAAATTAGACCACTCTCCTTGAGATACCTCAAGGTGCTCTATTGAATTGAAATAATTGCAAAGTCAGACTTTTATTATTACTTTTCTGGGGTTTTGGTTGTGGCATTTAAATCATTTTAAATCTAGATGGGATTTTCTCCCAAGCCTTTACAAATAAGGAGTAAATCAACCCATTAAAAAAAAAACGCAGTAAACAAGTCGTCTGTTTAAATTTAATCCTCTGTTGTTGTTGGGGTTGTTAAGCAGGTAGTATATTAATTTAGTTTAGGAGGTTTTTAAGTTTTGCAGATTGATTTCATTCATTTTCATGCTTTAATAGTAATTGAAAACTTCATTATGTTCCCATGCATATTTTCTAATTTTTTTGTTATTTTTTGTTCTGTTTTTTTTTTTTTACCTTAATGCTGTTTTTAATTACAGGCTGTCCGAAGTTTTGCTAATGAGACTTAGAAACTTCAGAAATATTGCAGAAATGATGAATTTCTTTAAATCTTTCATATTTAAGTGGAGGTTCCTGCATTAAGTATGAGAGTAATTTTCTTTATGTTCTAAGAAATGACATGAAATTAGGTGCAGACTGTTTGGTTGGTGTGTCAGGAAAATATCTCCCACGCCACTGCACCACCACCACCAGCCTGAACCATTGATATAAGGCAGGATGGATCCATGCTTTCATGTTGTTGACACCAAATTCTGACCCTACCATCCGAATGTTGCAGCAGAAATCAAGACTCATCAGACCAGGCAACGTTTTTCCAGTCTTCTGTTGTCCAGTTTTGGTGAGCCTGTGTGAATCGTAGCCTCAGTTTCCTGTTCTTAGCTGAAAGGAGTGGCACCCGGTGTGGTCTTCTGCTGCTGTAGCCCATCTGCCTCAAGGTTTGATGTGTTGTGTGTTCAGAGATGCTCTTCTGCAGACCTYGGTTGTAACGACTGGTTGTTTAAGTTACTGTTGTCGTTCTATCAGCCCAAACCAGTCTGACCATTCTCCTCTGACCTCTGACATCAACAAGGCATTTGCACCCACATGCCGCTCACTGGATGTTTTCTGTTTTTTGGACTATTCTCTGTAAACCCTAGAGATGGTTGTKGGTGAAAATCCCAGTAGATCAGCAGTTTSTGAAATACTCAGACCAGCCCGTCTGGAACCAACAACCACACCACGTTAAATCACCTTTCTTCCTCGTTCTGATGCTGGTTTGAACTGCAGCAGATCATTTTGGCCATGTCTACATGCCTAAATGCATTGAGTTGCTGCCATGTGATTGGCTGATTCCACATTTGCAATAATGAGCGGTTTGACAGATTTAAAGTGGAACCAACGTACAGTGTGGTAACCTAAAATATTTCATGCTCAAATGCACGTGTAACAGTTGTACACTTGATTAATAAATATAAACACAACATTTTTGAAGCAAATAAACAAAAAAAAAACACTTTGTTTAGAGAGCAGAAGTGTAACGACATAAGTCACCTTGAGTGCAGACTCCTGGTTGTGGTTGTGGTAAAAAGTCTCCGTTGTTTATGTCTCTTATTTAGCTTTGTGCAACGTGTTACAGTGGCGACTTATATTAAAAACCTTCATGGCAGACAGCGTCTCTAAGCAGACAAAACGCATAAGTTTGCGCTAAAATTCTGGTCTAACTCACAAAAAAATTATGTATTTACTTGTTTTTACTTAAAAATCATAAAGCATGTTAGATTCTAAGGATTGATTTAAGTGTTTTTTTAAGTAAAATAAARCAATTGGGGGTGGGGCTCATTGACAGGTCTGATGTGAGTCACACGTGGCCCATGGGCCGCCAGTTGCCTACCCCTGCTTCAGACCAACAATTTAAACGTCTCAAGTAGTCAGAATATGAAGCCACATGGTAATCCGTAATGTCAAACGGAAGCATCTGCTGATGAAGCTCAGCCGTGTTTGAATGAACACGCGGTTCGAAGCCACATAAATGACCCGCTGAGGGTTTGATGAGGCCGGATGATGAACGGTGAGCAAGCTGGAATCCAGGTGTTCGTCACCAACACGGGTTTTTGGTCCTGCTGAGATTTATATTAGCAATTAAAATGAAAGCCTGGTCGTTTTCGGGGAAGAACAGATGTGCGAGTGCTCTTTTTTTTGTGAGACTTTAAGTAAATTAGACAAATTAAAGCTCAAATTTGTCATTTAGTTGGAACAAAAGAGGCAGAAACAGAAAAGCTTTACCTGCTGTTTTATGCAGAAACACAACAGATTATGGAAGCAGCTCAGTGTTATTATAAAAAAATGTTTATTATCATACATGTTCTGTAGCAAAGTTTGAGATTAAAAGAATCCAAGTCAGGGAAAGCTTCACATTTATTTCACTGCCGTTTTATTGTTGTGCTGATTGGCTGAAGTCCTTCAGGCAGCATTTTTTTTAAATTTATTTATTTATTATTACAGAACCTTGAGAAGCTGAAAGCATGAGAGAGCAGCATGATTTGAACTTGTTGCTGTTCGTGGTGTTTTGAGGCTGAAGCGAACTGCGGGCGTAAACACAAGGCTGATGGATGGAGCGGAGAAAAGAAAGATAAATGTTGAAGAGAAGTCTGAAAAACCTGACGTTAATCTCACTCCGACCTGTTCGCAGCCTCGAACGAGACGAAACAAACTTCTCGATTGGCAGATTTCACGGAGTATATCTTACTATTTTGTCAACAGCAAGGATACTTTTTATTTATTCGCCTCCAGTAAAAGAAAAAAAGGCAGTTTTAAGTTCCCCCACAGACCTGACATGAAAAACACTGGCCATGTTTTTCTCCTTGAGTAATTATTCTGTTCAAATAGCATATATWTCTCTGCAGGCAGAGTGCTCGGGTTGAATGGATGCTGCCACCGCATAATGGTCCTCAGACGTTTGTTTCCTTGGCAACGTGGGGAGGGCATGTGAAGAGGGAGGTATAAAAACACTGGCAGCTGCTCTGCGAGTCTTACTCTGTGCTGAACGCTGCTGTCATCACAGAGAGCCTCAGAAAAACTTCCCACTCGGCTCGCTCGGCTCCRCAAGTGGGTGCCTTTTTGGGGAAAATGATGCGGCCAAAAGACCTGCGCCAGGGCTCTGGCACCAAGACCTTCCTGGACGCCATGCACGGCGGTAAAGTCCACCTGGCGCGCTTCATCCTGGACGCCTTGGACGGGCGCATCATCAACTCGAAGACGGAGAACAGCCGCACCCCGCTCATGTACGCCGTCTGCCTGCAGGACCCCGGCACCCGGACCAAGTTCACCCGGCTCTTGCTGGAGAGAGGGGCGAGCGTCAACTGCCAGGACGAGGACGGGCGCACGGCCCTGAGCCACGCCTGCGAGACGGGGCACCTGGACGTGGTCAAGCTTCTGGTGCAATTCAACGCTGACCCGGACGTGTCCGACGCCTGGGGTAACAGCCCCCTCATGTATGCCGCCTTCTCAGGACACAGCCAAGTTCTGGAGTTTCTGGTGAGAGCTTTCAAAAGACTGGGGCTGAGGCTGGACAGGACCAACAACGCCGGCCACTCCGCCACAGAGATCGCCAGCTTCTTTGGACACAACCAGTGTCTCCAGGTTTTGAACTTTCCCTGCAGGAGGGTCGCTGGCAAAGAGGACCCGCTTGTTGGCGTGGCCGCCGCTGTTGAGGTAGAATGCCAGCTACCCAGTCGGCTCCCGAGGCACCTTCTGGAGAGGTTTTCCAAGACGCCGACGAGCGGTGAGCAACTGCCAGACGTATTTCAGAGACAGACGAGGACTGGAGACAGCGGCGGCTCGGGGAGCCACTTCAGATGTCCCAGAAGCCAGTCTCAAGAGGATAATCATCCCCACAGCTGGGCTCTGCCTGCTCAGATCGAAAAAAATCAGAGCGAAGAGGATGACGGCATTCTCTTCACGGCCAAACAACTGCAAAACTGCCAGCTTCGAGAGCTGAAGGGGTCAAAAATAATGAACTCCCATCCCGAGCCGAGCCAGAAACCTGTCAGCCGAGACGCTCGGCTTCCAGAACAAACACCGGAGAGTTTTCCTCTCTGGGGAAAGGCAAAGTCGTTTAACCTGGACCTCCTGAGCAGCAGAAAGCAGTCCTATCAGGGCGACGTGCGTGACATGAGCCTGTCAGCCAGCAAATTAAAGAGAGCCTCGCTGCAGGATGAGCGATGCCTGATGGACAAGATGAAATGTCAAGGGAACGCTCGGGGCCTGACAAATGACAGCAACAAAACTGTTCCAGTGCCAACGCCTCTTTTAAACAGCAAGGYGCAGTCGTCGAAAGCTCTCCAGGAGTCGCAGAACGAAGGGGCCAACTTCAGCGCTCAACCCGGCCGGAGAGAGTGGCAGAAGAGGGGAAGCCTCGGCTCGACTTCCAGACCCAACAAACTGCTTTTTGCCAGAGGAGGGATGGAGGTCCCCGGCCACGCTCCCAGACTGATGGGCCTCGGGACCAGACTCCTGCGTCGGTTCACCGCCCCGGAGTTCATGAGGATGGTGATCGACTGCTCGTCTGGCTCCTCGAGCAGAAGAGGCCGGATGTCCCGCTCCGAAACCTTCCCTCTGTCCCACGCACACCAGCAGGTCAACAGTCAGCAGAGCGTCGACAGCATCAGCGCCGTCAAGTGTGAATTTGAAAGCTACTCCTCTCAGTCCACCTTTGATTAGACCCAACAACAAATAATGGCAGGATGTTTGTTTTCTTTTTTTAATTCCATTTGGATTTCTGACAATTCTGATAGCTTTTTTTTGCTGTTTGATTTACAATGTTTATATAAAACAAAGAAAAATAAATATAATTGCTCATTTGCATAAAACTGTACACTGTTTGGTTATCATATATTTAAAATGATCTGTAACAACACATGCCACGCTACTAAAACTGAATTTTTTAACATTTATATATGTTCTAGTGTTTCTGTGTTTTCAAAAACAGTGTATTTTGCTTAAAGATATTGAGTGTCTGTGCAATCAAAGCCTAATAAATGCAATAAAACATTCTTAGTCAAGTGCGTGTCTTCAAGTTAGTAACGAGTTTTTAAATGATTCATTAATTGTTTATTATTTCATACAAAATTAAAACATGTAATTCTCTCTCCATGGACGATCCACACAGGAATAAAAATACATGAAACCATGTCGACATGTATCCGTGTTGGATTACAAAGACTGTGTGCAAAGTGTTTCTCAGCAGGTTTTTTTGTTTGTTTTTGTTTTTTTGCGTCCTGCAGCATGACATGCCAAGCCTGTGTGCTTTATCTAGGCAAACAAGTGCAAACACACACTCACACATCATCATCTTCGGGATGAAGCACACATCCTGTGATTTCTGTTTTAAACCGATCACAATACAAAGAGGGTTTCAGCCGAGGCAAACAATGACATGTCACCTGGCGCACACTCACAACTCTACTCACATTTTAGTAAATATCATTTACTGCAGTCGATCAGCAGGTTTAAAGACCTTGTAATCAGGATATTTATGTACATTATTAATTGATCTATTTATGCTCGAAGTCCATACTTAATTATGAAACCTTATTTGGAACTTCACATCATACAAACAACTCACAACACCTTGTTAGAAATAAAGAATAAATATGAAAAAGAGGAACTGGTGATTTCTCCAGCAGCCCAGTAATAGCAGCTGGGCTTTTTATTCACCCGTTCGTTATGCTAATAAAGGGAATTGTCTTTCACATCACAGTACGTATTCAAGCATTCACATCAGGCCAGGTGTGCCTCAATTTGGCCATGCAAAGTGTGTGTATTACCCGCGTCGTCGTCCAATTTCCACAGCAGTGTGTGTGTGTGCAGAGGTTATTCTAATCCTGTCACAATGAGCTACTGTGTTTTGAGCCTAACATCAGCTTAATTAGCTGGCAATAATGCCCACTATGAACACTATAAAGGGTTTTCAGGGTAGCACATGTTTGGAAGATAGATGTGTGCCATCAGTGTGATGCGCACCGCGTTGTGCCGTTTCCCTCTGAATGTTAAAGGAAGCCAATTAATTTATTCTGACCGAACTGAATTGAGAGGCGAGGACTTGCATGTTCGCTTGAACTCACTCCTAAAGTGCTTCTTGCACGCCCGAGGCCGTGTCGTGTCCGTCAACAAATTGTGGCACCGTCACGCTGGTCTGCTTCTCTGGAGCTTCGCTCGGGTGCTGGGTACCCGGTGCTGGTCCTCTTCAGAGGCCTGGAAGGGGGCCATTGTGGTCTGTTAGGCCCCGAGGGGTCAGCAACGGGACATGCGTTTCCGGTACTGCTCCACCAGTGGGACCAGGCACTGAGGTGAGCCGCTCTGCAGCAGGAAGGGGTGCTCCAGCAGGTCGGTGGCGCTGGCCCGCTCCAATGGGTCCCGAGTCAGCATGCGATCCAGGAAGTCTTTGAGAACTGGGGAGATCTGAACCACAGAGACGTGCATGCATTTTAAATCACCGCAGTCGTTTTTAGAAGCTTGTAAACAACATTTCCCCCCGGCTAATTTGAATTTATATTAGATTTTTGTGTTTACATTAAGAGTTTTCTGCATGTGAGAGTTTTCTCAGACCTGGCTGACATTTCGAACAGTCGGCGCTGGCTCGTCCCTGAGCCTCTTCATGGCTGCTACAGGCGTTTCACTGAAGTACGGTGGCTCTCCATCCACCATCTCTACCACCATGATGCCCATCGACCACACGTCAACCTGGTCGCACACAGAAGAACCGTGAAACTAACCTTGAAAAAAATAACTCAGAGTAAAAATACCTTAACAGGAAATGACTTGGCAAAAAATGAATTTCACTAATAAGAAAAGAACTTTGAATAAAAGTCATAAAACCGCTCAAAATAATCGGAAAATTATAAGTACTTTTACTCTCTAAGGAATGAACCATTTAACTTGCTTAACCAAACTGGTTCCCCTTAAACTAAGTGAATAAATTGAAGAAAATTGCTCGATTTACTCAACTCAGATCCAGCTGAGAGAACTTGGTAAATTCAATGCTTCATTTTTTAGAGTACATAAACAACTCCTTTTATGATGAGTTCTGCTCATATTTAAATATGTAACRTGCAACTAAGAAGTAAAATGATCCTTTTTATGTTTTGAATGTAACAAAATACAAGTAAAAGTTACATTAAAAAATTCCACTTGAAGTGTAGCAAAGTAAATGTTGTAGTGGTCACCCTGGGTGGAATAAACGTTCCACCTGCCTTTGAACTTGACCACGGAAGGCCTCCTTTAAAGAACAGAACTCTGTTCATTTTTATGGTCATAACATGTTTTCTTAAACMATTAAGGGACATTTTATTTCATTTTATTCTCTATARTCAAGATAATAAACAAAATAGTAATGTTCTTTATATGTTTTGACTTTACATATTTTACTTAAGCAAAAGTTATTTCTTAATTAAAGTTATCATTTTAAAGTTAAAGTTATATGCTTAACWGAATGACAAGTTATGTTCTTCTCACTATAACCAGAGAAAAGAAGAAAATCACAAAATATATCATTTTAATGTTTATTTTGTGTATGTTAATCAACCATTATTTGAATATAAGGTGATTATGTTTTTCTATTTTTGATTCACTATAAAAGTGTATGATTTTCTAGTTATGTAAAACAGAGGTTGATGTGAGAAGTTTCACTAAAAGCTGAGAGTTAACAGAAGAAGCTTTGAGCATGTAAAACAGGGGTTGTTTTGTCTAGGAGGCAAAGTTTCCCATGAGAACTTCGACGCTCCTCTAACGTTCTGATTCACACCTGTTAACAACAAGGTCGACCAGAGACGATTCTCTCTACCTCCCCTCTCTTATCTTTTCTATACTAACACGGACGACAGTCCGGCAGTTGAGTCCCGGTCGACACCCAGTTCAGTTCGAGCGGAGTCTGACGCGGGTCAGACTCGAGGACTGTCTGGTCTGGTCTCTCCCAGCAGAGAGCAGAACCTTGTGGTGAAGGTTTTAGCTCAAGAGCTAAAGAGCTAAATCTTCCCACTAGCCTAACGACGACGCCAGTCGTGGGCCCCCAGCAACTCTCTTTGAAGTTGAGACTCCACAGAGACGCTTTTGTTTTTAATCTGAAGAAGCCAAACGACGGAGTGTCAGATTGACACGGAACCGGACCGACCCAAAGATAATCAACTTCCTGAAGTTAAGTCCGGAGCAGTGCTGACGGTCCTAAGCGGTCTCAGAGGTCTGAAACCTGGACACCTTCAAAGCTTACCTGACTGACGTCTGAAAAGGTAAAGCTGAACGTTGATTACAAAGTGTCGGGAGTCCTGGCTGTGTCACTAAAGACCGCTCCATCCTTCTGGCTTTTTACAGTATTGATAAGATAAAATCTAGTTCACTCTCCATAATAACCACTTTTCCTTCACTAAACTTAACTTTTACTTCACTCTTACTAAGAATTTGCCTCAATTAGGTTATTTAACATCAAAGAACCTTRTTGTGTCATATAAGTTGTCAAATTAACGAGATTTAACCCTTTTTAAGAGTTAATGGTTGATTATTCAACTTATGTAAAACCCTTATCCATCTTCCAATGAGTTTGTATGTAAATAATTGTTTTGTAAAATAAATATCATTTATTTTTAGATAAACTTTATTGACTATGATACTCATTGTCAAAGTCTTGGTCATAATAAAGGTGATGGTTATGAATATTAATATTTAAAATTTTAAAGAACCCGTTTCCTCATATATTAACTATATTAATATTAGTCGATATTAGTTAGGTTAAATATGAGAAGTTATGTTGGAGTATCTCTACAATGTTAATGCTATTATACACCTGTACACCTATCATAGATTATTATCATTATTATCATAATTATGCATAGATTTCTGGACCGATTCTCATGATCGGTTTTTGAATTGATAATTTGTAGATTCCTATTTCTTTAAAAATATATTTTTAGAAATGTATTAATTTCATTAAAAACAAAATAACTATATACAATAGAAAATAAAAATATGCAATTAAAAATCAAATAAAATGAAAGGCAGCAGAAGAAGAATAAATCTTATAATATCTAACCCTTTTATTATCTCCAGAATTTATTGAAATAAAAGTAATTTACAATAAATAAATAAATAAATAAATAAAAAGCACTCAAACAGCTTTGGTGAGTTCAAAAGTTAAAAATTGTACATTTTCTCCAAAACAGGACCAGGCTTCAGTTTACAAGACAGAGGTAGCCTGTTTGTCATTAAAATCCAGCCTCTAAATTTTTATTTTAGAAAGCAGAATAAGTTTTCTTTAAGTAGTCTGTTAAGTCTCCTAATCTTCATCTGACTTTAGTTTTTAATGTGATATGAACAGTCAATCCCATGTCTGAGGTTTTCAAACCAGAGGACTGCTTTTTAAATAAAAAAAACAAAGGTTTTGAGTACCTAATCTGTCCAACACTGGTCAAGCTGTAAGTCAGCTGATTCCTGTCACCTGCTGAGAAACTTAATAATCTCTTGTTTGCGCAGTTTATGCTTTTTACCCGAGAGAACAACAGCTGAATATGTTCACCTCAGTGCCATATGGTGATTTGGAGATGACCTCAGGAGCCATCCAGTAAGGCGTCCCCACCAGAGACTTCCTCTTGGGGATGTCCTTACTGATCTGGGCACAGAAGCCAAAGTCTGAAAGCTTTACCTGGAAAGAACACAGACAAGAAGAAGAAGGAAKAAAAGAAAACAGTTTACTCCCACGAAAAGCAAAAAGGAAGAAGCTAAAGATGTGAAGATGACACACCGTACCCTTCCGTCTAATGTGAGCAGTATAGAGTCACTCTTGATGTCTCTGTGAATGACGCCCTGTGAGTGGAGATAGGCCAGGGCCTGCAGAACGGCTTCACACACTGTGGCGATCTGCTCTTCACTCAGCCTGCGGGGAAAACAAGTTTACRCACACTCACAGGATGCCTTTACAAGGGCATTTCACACGTTTCCATTACCGGCTACTACAGCCCCCAAAAGCTGAAAATTCATGAATCACYGCACATTAAAGGCTGCGAGGTTCAGAATAACAACTCCCACACAGCAGAGATGACAAAGGAGCAGGTTTGTTCATCCGCAGCAGTAATGTGCTTTTGATATTTCACAGGTGTAACAGAAACATAAAAAAGGAAGAAGCTGCAAGAAAACTCAGATGCTTTGTGAGGTTTACGCTAACATAATACACACTGTGATAGATACAACAATCATCTGAAATTACCAAAGAATTCTTTAAATCACTGACATTTTTGACACACTGAGCAGAAAAGGACTTGACTGTTCTGTCAATAACCTGCCCTGTGTAGTTTTTGACAAGTAAAGGCTGTGACAGTTTGCTATTTTTTCCCCATCATCTGGTTTAACAGAAATATTTTCATTCCTTATTGTCAACTGATCCAACCTCATCCAGTGAAAAGGACGTTATCCAAGACTCAATAATTTCAGACAAACACGACTCCCTGATGCTGGTTAACTTATGACTTATGAAGCATCAAATTTCCAACAATAATGTTTCTTTCAAAGAAAACCAGCAGCTGAGTGAAGGAGAGGAGAGAAAGATGTGACAGGATCGTTCTCCATTTGATACCACACTACCCCCTTGTGGTTGATTTCAAAAATTAATCTGAATTTAATCCACAAAACACATAAAAAGGGTTACTTTTTATACCCTTGTTCGTACCTGGTTTCAGATACAATGTTGGTTAGTGCTCCGCCCTGCAGGTACTCCATGATTACCCACAACTCCTCCTCCACCAGGGCAGACTTGAACATTTCCACCACGTTCTTATGCTGGTAGTCTCTCATGATGACCACCTGCAGCACAACACAACTATATCACAATCCTTGACAGTATTTAGTTTTATTTCTCTAGCTTTAAATCTAGACTGTAAAGCACCAGGATTGTTTTGGTGCTACTTGTATGGATTTTGGTCTCAGTGACGTAAGTTACAATGTTTGGGTCGGGGTCCAACTGAGGGCCATGAAACACCAAAACGTGGGTCTCGAAATGGTCTTCAAACATTAAATTAAATGTGAAAATAAATGCTGAAAGCACAGTTTGGCTGTTGTAGTTGTTAGAAGAAATAAAAGCGGTCTTCATAAACGGATAAAATAGTTGGATGTATTTTTATGTTACCATCATGTCCTTGTTTAATTGTCTTATTAACAATGTTGGTGCACTTTAACAAGAAATTACTGGAGTCATGAGTCGGTTTAGTTTTGCTAATGGGACAAAAAGTTTGAAAACAACTGCTAACTACTTCTACTAATAGGAAACAGCCTAAAAAAGAAGACTTTTCATTAAAAAAAACAGATAAATTTGCTTTGGAAATCACTTATAGACCCACAAAGGACACAATGAAAAATAAAGTCTAAAGATCAAACACAGGGATGGGCAACTGGGTAACAAGTGTGCTCCATCATGCCTGCTAATGAATTTTTATTTTTTACTTAAACGCCCTTAAAGCTATGAAAGAGGATTAAGGCCACTATAAAAATTTAAAAATAAATAATAATAATAATAATAATAATAATAATAATAGTAATAATAATAATAACTCTGACTTTAAAATCAGAATTGTGAAAAAAGTCAAAATTTTTACTTTTTTCCTCACAATTCTGAGATTAAATTCAAAATTATTTTTTTAGTGGTCCTAATCCTCTTTTGTATAAAGCAGCTCTTAGAATCTATAGCAGTTGCCTATTAGGGTTGGGCATTAATGGCAAAAAAAAATTATCACGATTAATTGTGGTATTTAGTCGATAACGATTAATTTGACGATTGATGCCCTGGACACCCTTATGTCCTGGTCACATGACCAATTTAGYGGGAAAGATTTGCTCTTCATAAAAATCGGTTCCAAATTGTGTCAAACTTCAGGCTATACATCAAATTTTAAATTGTACTTATAGATAAATTAATTACAGAACTTTTTTTTAATATTCAGCATATTTGAAGCGGAGAGGAGCACAGAGTGGATTCAATGTTTTTCTGATGATTAACTGCACACAATACGATTATGCCCAACCTTCTATCTATCTATCTATCTATCTATCTATCTATCTATCTATCTATCTATCTATCTATCTATCTATCTATCTATCTATCTATCTATCTATCTATC